TGTACATAAAACAACCTTAGCTTGTAATTACAGTTATCCAATAAAATTTCTGAAAACTTAATGACATATGTTTTTAACTCATACAGGGTATACAACAGTTTAATACATTTATTATTATAAAACTTATAACCAGTACTAGACGTTCTAATAACGATGTGGAACACTTTAATAACAGTTATTGCTATTATTTCGTAAAGGGTATAAAAAAAGTTGTATACTAGTTATACAATAATTTAATAAAGAATAAGGTTTATAGTCACTATACAAGTGTGCTAGCAATACGCGTTTTATATCCAATATTCACCTGTTTAACTGTCACATATAGTATACAATGGTCTCATAATGGTATATAGAATTATAATAAAAAATAAAACGCATTTCTTTCAGTGTATTACTTAGATTTGCATGTACTCATCTCCAATCCAGTAGTTATTTAAATAAAATTTATGAATACAATATGTGGTAAGTTAATGTTTTTTATATTATACTTTTTCAGTGAGCCAAGACAATATTTACAAAAGTATTAAGATAAATTATTCTAATTTTATAATATGCCCACAATAAAACAAAAACAATGCATTTGATGTAAACGTGCAATGACAATACGGTGTCATTTAAACGCAACAACAGGCAATAACATTAAATCCGTTCTCACTTCCTCGATCCTATCCCGTGATTCACCTCGATAATAATTTAACGACAATGTATAAGATGACAATTATCCTTCAGTTATTGGATGACAATTACAATTTTTCCTAGTCATTCCGTTAACAGTCGCCGAGTGTAAACAACTGATGTCATTAAAATTTATATCATTTTATACCTTTATATTTGAAAGTGGTTCAATGTACGGAATAGTCACACAGGTGGTCAATAATAAATTAATAAACAATAAATATGTGTCACCATTAGTCCGGTCAAATTAATCATAAATATAGTGGTCAAATAACAAAAGTTCCGACAGAGCTAAATTTTGGTGGAGACCTTGGGTACACCATTAGAAATAAAGTGTCAAAAGTCCCCACCGATCCCATGTGTGCTAAAAAAATTAATCGGGGTCAAAGGTCAAAATTTGAGGTTTTTTGGATTTTTTTCGAAAACGGTAAGTTTTATTAAAAAAGTAGCTCAGACAAAAATTGTAGATCTGAAAATTATCTACAAAAATGGTACTTCTACTTTTTCTTTTCTAAGAACCATCATTCCTGAGATTTCGCGATTCTAAAAGTTGAAGGAGTCACCTTCTATATGATATGCACATATATGCAACGTATATTCTTAGTCAAGCACTTAATACAAGTAAAAATGCCTATTTGTGTCTCTTATATGTATAAGCTATACTATTCTGAGAATATACACTCAAAAGAAACTCAGTCTCTTAGTCAAAATGACGCAGATGTCCTTATAATTGAGACAGCAATAGAACAATTTAATGCAACAAATACAACTATTGTAGTTGGTGAAGATGTTGACTTATTAATACTACTTCACTGCAAGGATTCCAATTGATAAAATTATATACTTTTTAAAACCTGGAAAGGCTCAACAGCGAACAGAAATATATTCTTCAAAAAGTTTATCTGCTTATCCAAAATGCCAAAACCATATCTTATTTTTACATGCGATAACCGGCTGCGATACTACATTAGCAATGTTCAGAAGGGGTAAAACATCAGTATTAAAATTATTTG